TGGTATTTAAGTAAAGTATGTAAGAGTCAGAAAATGTAAAGACGCGGACTGAGTTTCTGAAATCAACACTTGGAGTTTCAAACACTTCATGCAAAGATCCTTTTAGATTGATAGCTAGTGTTAATAGTGTTATGGTGAAGGACCTCCGCTGCTATTTCAGATCATACTGCTACAATGCACGCTTATGAACACAACCATGCAAACACAACATGATGAAATGTTCCCTAAGCAGTTATTTGGTGTTGTGCAAGTTGTGACCTTGCATACAACTATGCATAATTAGTTTAAGTTTGACAGTCTAATATTTTCCAAAATAAGGAATTTTGCAGAAACACATCCACTTTGAAAATAGTGAGAGTAGGTACAGTCAGCAGGCCTCTCAGGACTGCAGCCTGAGGCAATACATGACTTTCTGTCCTGTCAGCCTGCGAGCTGCTATGGGAGAAGTCAGGGGTCACTGGTCAGCTTAAGTGTTACATTTTTCACGTCGCCTTGAAAGTTTCATAATATTCCTGCTGAAGAGTTGCATGTGTATGTGAATTGCTTTATAAAGTTAGCAGTAAATTCTTCAAACCACAACTCTGTTAGTTGTGAAGGCGTGAGAAGAAAATGTTTATTTGATGCAGTTGGTGTAAGATTTTCACGATCAGAGCTTAAACTTAAGCAACAGTAGCATTACAAGTGGAAGTCATTACTTCAACTTACTTTCACTTAAGTACAGAATCAAAATATTAGCATCAAATATGAAAAGGGGAAGTAATTTCACCTAACCCTTTAACAGCCAGCGCCACCATTTGGTAGAGCACATTTTGTGTCTTGATATCTTGTTGAAAAAATAATAAAAAAGTGTAACTCCATCTGATTCAGCCATCTCTACGAGTTGGTTGACATGTTATGCGCAAAACAACCTGTAGATGTCACTGTGGTTCGAATAGAAAGCCCTTCAGCTAGCTTCAACTGAGATAGTTGGCATGCTAAAAATCACTGCTGATGAAATCACTCTTTTTGGTCAACTTTTGTCAGGTAACCATATCATTTTTGACATATTTTAGTGTCAGAGCACTGACTGAACATAATTAGATAACTTGATGCACAAAAAAGTTTCAACAAGGGTGTAATTTCTTTTTTTTAAATATGCTCAACCAATCGGTCAAATTGGCCTTCATATTGTAAACTAGCAATATTACTTTTTCAGAGTTTCAGAGATGTTTTCCAATAAAATATGGTAAATAAATAGCTAGATTCATGGTAATATTACTACATCTAGTACTGCCTTATGAGTCTCAGAGTGAAAGAGCGATAATAATTTATATAGCACCTTTCATGCATGGCATACAGCCCAAAGTTGCACACAGATGAGCAAGTTAGGCCAACACAGGATATAGACATTTGCTGTTAGGCCAGTGGTTTCTTGTTAGGCCAATTCAGCATATACAGTAAGATGAGCAAGTATTTTTTATTATTATGAAAAACACTTAACATTACTTTTTTCCATTTTTCCCAATTATAATTTATTATCTTTTATGAATATATCTGGTTGTATATATTGCTCATTTTCCATAAAAGAACTGTATTTGAGTTTGTGTTTTATTTGAGTTTGATGCATATGTAGCAGGATGAGTAGTAAATGCTGTTGTAAGGCATATTCTTCTAAGCCTATCACAGGGGGGCACCCTATAAAGGGGCAGAGGCTTCTAGCTGGCGGCCTCTTGTTCGTTGGTGCACAGACCTACCCACTTCCGTGCTTGCAGTGTTTTGCTTCCGCCACCGGGGTAGGTATGTTGTAGGTAGGAGAATAGCTGGCTTCAGGTAAAGTTCCGCAAATTCTCCACCATACTTACGTGTAGTCACGTTTTGTTTTGTATAGCGGAGGGTCTTCCTGGCGATGCCTGTCAAGTCATACAAATACTGTACTGTATATGATTGTTGAAAATGCACTTTTACCATAAAAGGCCAGTTCGACCAGTATATACAGTCTATGGTAGAGGCTCATAAAAATAAAACTGTGTGGTCAGTCAACAAAATAATTTTTTGTGGTTATTTGTGTCCCATTTGATAAAAAAATGCAAACATTTTTTTTTCCATAGCTTTTTTCTTGGTCTGGTAGTTAAAGGGTAAGGAGGCGTTTCCTATCCAAGCATCAGGTGTGATCATGTGACCTCTTAATGGGGCATCTGACTTGTTTATTAGACTCAAGTACATCTTGAATAATATACTTTCTACTGCTGATATGGTAACGATAACATGAAGCTTTAACATTGGTCACAGAGGGGAAGATGGCGGATGTTAATGTGCTATTTTAGGTTCCCTTCCAAGTGTTTTTATGCACCTGAAATTCTTAAATATGATAGTAATGATGGATCCACAAGGTGCTGTAGAGTGTTTTACTTTTATGCCCGAGAATGAAGCATCCTTGTCTCCTCAAAAGGTCCCAGTGAGACTAAAGAGTGTTTATTAAACCAGCAGGAAATGACAGGATGTAGCTGTAAAGATTGATGTTATGCTAGGTTTTCTAGTCTGTTTCTATTTAAAATGCTGCAGGTAATGAAATATAACATATGAAGTTTTAGAAAAAGCTTCTAGAAAGTAAAGGGAGATTATTGGAACCCTCTTACAATATAGAATGTATTAAATACAGTTACATTGCTGCATTGACAGAGTGAACATATAAGAAAGAAGCATTATGGGCTACAGTTAACATGTATGTAGTTGTCCTCCAGGTGGAGCCAGTGTCTTCATTCTGATGGTGTGAGGGCTGATTACTGCAGCAGCCACAGTGGAGAGATGTCATTTTCTGAAGAACACTTGCAGTTTTAGATCCATATTTTTAGGAGTCCTTGTTTAACCAGTTTGACTGCCACATTTTACTGTCTGACTTTCACTGGAGAACTGGCTCAACCTGAATGTAACATTAGCATGTATGTGACAGAATTACAGGTTTGCTTTATGACCTTTAAGATATATCTTGATATAAGAGACAGATGATTTGCTATAACACCCTAAGTTTTTGTGAATAAGGAGATGTAAGTATTGGCGGAAGTTTGTATGTGCAACAACTTCCTCAAATATATCAAAAAACTATGGGTTCCTTTACCGGTTAGAAGTAATAGTCTGCTAGGCCCAATATATCTTACTTCCTAATTGTGTAGGGTTTACATGTGTAATGTCTGATGCAAACAGTTCCAGTCGTATTTGTTCTAACTTTCGTAGGAAAATTATTCACAATCCATCTCTTTTTTTTTTTTTTACATTTGTTAGGTTTCATTATCACTCGCATTGCATTACTTTCACTTTTGATGCACTACGAAGATTCTTCTCCAAGGACTGAATCCATTTCTTCAGTCTGCTGTGACTATCTGTAGTCTACATCTCCCCCTTCGTGTTTAGATTCAGGAGTCGTGTTGGATAGTTCTGCAAAGACAGAGGTTTTTTTGTTTTTATCACTCCAGTCGTTCACATGCATACCAACCTGCATGCATACCATCATTTATAGCTGCAGAATCTAGACAGGGAAGTAGATTATTGGGTCAGTCAGCATGCTCCCTCCTGGTCTAGACTATTGTGTGCAAGTGGCCCTGTGCCTGAGTGACATTAATTATGCTCCTAGAGCCAATGCTCTGTGGGAGAGATGCAGCATTATCACCGTTTCCTCTTAATGAGCAGCTCTGCAGCGTCAGAGTCTCTGCCAACTTTCTTTCCGTGTGCTTTCTTTTTCACAGGAATCTGTCAGATATTATTTAGAGCTTTGAGTCAGACCTCATGAGGTAATGTGTCAATCATAATGTGCAGCTCATGGTTATTTGCTTTGGTACTGTGACAATCTTCTCATAACGAAACAATTATTAGCTTCACCTGCAGGGTCCATTAACACCAAAGCTAACAGATTGTAGTCCTTAATTGAATCACTCACACAGACGGTGTGTGTAAAGTGCCATGCATAATCTGACAGATTTTGAATAACTTTGCAAGGTGGAGCCTGTGGTAATTAATAAGGTGTGTATGAAAAAGGTTATCGTTTTTTTTATCAGCAGTTTTAGGATAGTTTCGTAATCAGTTGAGTAACTCTCATTTTTTTTTAATAGTACAAAATTAGTGAAATCAAAACAATGATGTGCGGATTAAACTTGAAAGAATGTGATTGAAGAAGAAGTTGGTATAGGCTACTTTCAGCACTTTGAATATAACTTCTGCTATATTTAAAAAGCTAGGAATTCCACACATTTTGCCAAAATCTACTTCCAAAACTAAATGTATAAAAATCATCATCCTGACAATGGTGACTGTGTGTTCAGCCTTTTTGTAAATGTTTGATTTGGGAATTCCTCCCTGACAGAAACTAAAACAAGCCCCTCACAGTGCTTTTCTCTGTGATCACTGATGTGGAATTCAGGGGTCTGGGACGGGAGTGGAGTGAGATGTTATAATCACCTCAGAGGGCTTCTGCTGTGTTCACTGAGGTCGATTATGTCCTCCCATCCCATAATGTATAAGGCAGATTGTGTGATCTGTAGGGTCTAAACAGCAAGTGTTCATCATGAGAACAACAGCAGGCCCCCTCTTGAGACATCCCTGGTTTCCATAGGAGCAGGTGGATCTGTTCAAGTGACGCTGTTACCGTGGTAATAGTCCCCTTGTGTGTGTGTGCTGGGATATACCTCAGCTGAATAGGATTTACAAGCCTGTCTTTCACAATCACATGTTTAACAATCCACAGGCGTGAGGTGAACCTTTGCAACGCCGGCGTCACTGACATCACAAAGTTCAGTGGCAGCATTGATAAGTGAGAGGGCAAACTGGGAAATCAATAAACAGCAGCGCATTCGACAAACAGCACACAATGCGACCTTTGGCTGGGCGGGTAGATAAGTCCTCCCACTCTCCCTCTTTTCTGCCTTTCCTTGTTTATGTGCCATGTGTGTCTATTAGCCTTGGTAATAAAGACAGGGGTTTGAGCAGTGGGTGTGGGATTTGGCATTAGAGTAACTTTGACAGATAAGCCTGTTGTGCCTTAAAAAAAAGAAGGGCCAAAGCAAAAGAGAAAGATTTGTGATGTAGGTGGAGTTTGTGTAGATAAGGGGAGGGTGAGAAAAGAGGTTAACATGTGCAGAGAAGTGTGAGGGAGTGTTGGTTCTACAGAAGAGAGAGACGGAGCGAGCTGCAGAGGCAGTGACCGAGAAGGGAAGTGTGATAATCAGCTTGGGAAATGACACTGTGAACTATTTGTTTTTCCGCTCAGAGGCCTGGGGTGTTCTTGAACAGAAATGAATGGTGATGGCAGCAAACAGCGATATGTGTCAACCTTCAGGATGCACATCAAGCAGCCCAGTGCATCGCCTACATCAGGGAATGGGCCGGGAGCTATTGACAGCAGGATCACAGACACATGTCCTGACACTGGTGAGGGCTGCATGACAGAGAGAGGAGATTAATACTTTCAGGGTGTGTGTTTGTGTTGGAAAGAGCTCAACTGCTAGGAATTATGTTTTAAATCTCATATTTACTTTTATCAAGAGTCATCACCATGTTCAGACTTGTATATAATCAAAGTGCACTATAAACACACCCTTGCTTTTATTTTCTCCTGGTGTTATGTTTGTTGTTTTTCTAAGCCAATATTAAGGGTTATGTTGAAATGGCCAAATATTTGACTTGATTGCTTTGCATGTCCACACTGAATATCAAATATAAGTATAACTGGGTGTTATTTGCAATAACAATATAAAGCTAAAGTAGTTATCATGCAGTAAAATAGTTACTGTCATGGTCGTACTATAATTATGATGGGTTTGGCTTAATATTACTGCTGCATCATTGTGTGTAAGCTAAAAAAAAAACAGGCCTGTTTTCAGCTTTGTGACAATGCATTTTCAGCAGATTCAAGAGCCTTTTAAACAATTTATTTGGATTAAAAAGCAGATCAGATCTCTTGCCAAACACTTCTCCCCTCAGTTTATCACAGACATTTCAAATCAACACATCTGGAGATACTTGTTATTTACTGCACAGGAAGGGGCAACTAAGAATAGCCACTAAGGTTGTCAGGCAAGCATAGTGGTGTAGAAAGTACAATATACCATCTGAAATGTATTGGGGTAGAAATGCAAAGCTGCATACAATGAGTGATTGAAGTAAATACAAGTAACTCGAAAGTACAGTACTCCAGTAGACATGCTTTTTTCAGTGTGAATCGTCATCGGGCAGATGTTATGACCCACATTTGTCTGGCAGATGACAATCTTGTACATTATCTTTGACATGTTAAAACATCAGGAACCGATAAAAGCAGACTTGTTTCGGCATGGCCATTTTCAATGGCATAAGAGCAGCCTGTAAGCCTTTAGTTCAGCTTATCGGTTATCACTGACCTGCCAGTGGAAGCTTTTAGGTCTGCTTAAGTCTTATCAAAGGAAGGGTCAAAGAGTCATGATGTGACAAGGGTGTGATAGTCCTCCTCAGTGTGTTTGTGTGCTGAGGTGCTGCTCAAAGCACTTGATTGAACAGTGCCTGCCTCCAGCTTTATCATGAATACTTGAGGATTGTAAACTCTGACTAAAGGTTGATTGTTAAAACATATATTTTGTTAAACCATAACTAGTTTACTGTGCATGGTATTTATAACCTCTTTTACACAATGTTTCGGAAAGTTACTTTACTACGGCTGTAGACCTCTTTAATAACAATGCATTTTACTGGTGATACCACTCAATATCAGCCTGTGGTGCAGATTATGTGCTTTTGATTAATGAAGCGTTGCTACATCAGGGGGAGTGCAGATCCTTGGTGTACCCACCCCCGTGTTTCAAGCAAGGATTCAGATCTGATATCATTACTGCAATAAAAAAAAACTAAGAAAAAACACAAAAGCAGATGTCTGATGTCAGTACTTTGGTATCTTTTGGGCAGTGGAGACTAGAATTCATGTGAAAGAAGGAAGAACAAATTAAAATGTGTTGTAACAGCTTGGCTAGTTGAGAGGATAGAACATGCACACCCATCACATCTGTAGCACCTGTGGGTGTTACTTCTAATTTAAGAGTATGAGTGTGATGATAAAAGGTGTGAATTAATGTAAATAAACACACACTATAATAAAGTTTGTGGCCAAAATTGATGTCATAAATATATAATAAATAGCGAACTAAAATAAGACGATTCAAAACATGATTTATCTAAACCTATATGCAGTTCTGTGAAGAGCAACACACACTTATCAAGGGTTTTAAGACTTCACAGAACTGCATCGTCTACAAGGGGTTACAACTCTATGTGTGTTGCTCTTGCTTTGTGTATCTGACCCCTCACCCTTTTTCACCACTCTACTCCACATTCAGGGTCTGTTAACCTTTCCGCTCGTAAACGCCTGGATCTGCCCGTCTTCATAGAGCCGCTGCAGGACTGCTGTGTAGACGAAGGAAATGACATCACACTGCGGGGGGCTCTGACTGGAGGTCAGCCTATTCAAGTGTCATGGTTGCACAATGGTGAGTGAAAAATTTAAACTGCTATATCTTGATTATCGATTGGGGTCAGATGTTGACCTAAAGTAGAAGGCCCTTATACAGTCAATAACTCGTATTTTCTTTTACAACAGGTCGTTATCCTACCAGTTAACCTCTTGAACTCTTTAGTTTTGCCTTATATCAACTCCTTTTCCTATTTAGATGTACTGTTTTTTGTTTGTGCTTATCCCAACACAATGAAGCTTATATAACAGACTATTCTACTGTATGTTTTCATGTCTGCACCTTTACACTAAATGTAAACTTTCTAGATGTATTTTTGACACATTTTCTACACCTTTTTACACTTCACTTAGCCCAAAATGTTTTGTCATTTTGGAGGGATATCTATCATAAATAAAACCTGCAAAGGTCTTTAAAGTCTAAAATCCCAAAGTTCCCTCCAGAGGGAGTTTCTCTCCCACACACTCCCTACCCCTGCCTGAAACGCTGATGGTGGTCCTTTGCGCTCCGTCCTTGCGCACATTTTTCCTTGATAGGCTAAGGGACATCTCTAAGCGGTTGACCAACCACAACTGAGCAAACCAGTAACCAATCAGACCAGACTGGGCTCTGGTTTCAGACAGAGGGTGAAAAGAGATGCTGCAGTATGAGAAAAATAAAGCACTTCTTGAACATTAAAACATGTAAACATGTCAAATTAGAGGCATAAAATATAATTATGAAATCCCCAAAATGATCATAATAGGGCCCCTTTAAACCCTTCTGTCAATATCAGCCCTTCCTTCGTTCACATGCCTTGTCTTTTCCTCGTGAATTCCCCTAGCCAGAGAATGCAAGTGTTTCTAATTAGTTTCTCCTCCTATGGGCAGGTGAAGTGGCCCGTTTTGGAAAACCTTCCTTTAATGGCAGGGAGACGAGTTTTGTGGTGCGAGAGTGCTTGCCTGAAGATGCGGGTGCCTACACGTGCTTGGCAGAGAACAGTGCAGGGAAGACTTCCTGTTGTGCTGCTGTGTATGTCAAAGGTGAGGAGGGAGACACTGGGACACACTGGAGACTGCTTTATAATGGACATTAAAACATAAGTCTAAAACACAAATGTGAAGCCCATAAACTCTCTGCCTTTTGGAGGTTGCAATGCAAGATGTGGAATATTTATTCTGTTGGTTACTCTGGTCAAAATAGTTAGGAGTTTCATTGTGTTCTGCGTTTCCTTTTTCTCTTCCTCTTACCAAAAACCAATCCAGACTTTGAAACTATCTGCGGGTCGCAGAGTCATGTCTCAAATATCCAAACTTCTGCATCCAAGAGCATGGTGCCGAATGGAACGTCACCACAGTCTCTCAAAGACGAGCAACAGAAGACCAGAGGATCTATTTGCTCTTCCCCTGCAGGCTCTGATAAGCTCAGCCCGGTCTCCAGTCCAAGAGGTAAATCATTCATTTCCCAAATTGAACATACTGTACAATGCAGCTTCCTTCCTTCCTTACATGTTTTGATGCACCAAGACATGTAAGGCCTCTTTTCCATTGTTTTAACTTCTTCCGGACATCCATGATAGGTTTTCAAACAAATAGGAAACGCATCATTTCCAGTCCTTGTGTAATTGGTTGTCAGGCTGTACGTCCGCCATGCAGGGATAATGTAGGACTTCCACAATAATGATATACACCCACTACAAGTTCTCGGTCCCAAGTGAGCGCCATGTAGGGAAGTGGACAGTGCACAGTACAGTAAAACTTGCCGAGTGTGTGTGAACAGATAGCAATAGAACAGCAGAGCCACACCTCCACCATATACTAAAACCTACCTGCGCTTCACCTGTCTCTGCAGAAGTCATCCCAAAGAAGAGAGCCAACTCAGCGACAGGTGAGAAGCCTTTTTCCTCATTTACTTTCTCTGCCAGATGACTAAGCATCGGTCTTTCCATCGTCCACCTACACTTCCATTTCTTATTATTCAATGCTACAGTATATTGTCTGATTTCTGCTTGTTCATGAAAATTCAACTTTTTCATTAGAGCCTTTTCTGTGTGTGAGTTGCTTCTGATTCTGTTTTGGTTTCCCTGGAATTTTCTTTTTTTTCAGCCTTTGTTTATAGAAATAATGTTGGCTAACTCTGATCTATTGTTATCCAATACACTGGAAACCTTTAACCTCAGGGTGTAGGCTGCAACAATAAAGGCGTGAAAAGAGAACACAGTAAGGTCTGAATGTTTGTTATGAGTGCATAGGATATGTCTGCTTTAAAAAAGATGGTTTGATGGATTGGAACAAGTTGAAGTAATGGCTAGAGGGTTAGATCGAATAATTTAGCATGTCTGTTAAATAGATAAACTGTAAAGCCTATCAGATGTCTCCAGTCAAATTGATGCCACAGTATTTGAATACTGACTGTTTGAGTGATGATGTTGACTCTATGCTCATATATGGAATTGTTCTAGTCTATTGTTAATATGTGGTTAGAAAAAAAATAATATTTGTTTTGTGTGTTTGCTTGATATTTGTAATTAGTTCTATATTGAAAATAACACGTGGGATTCATAGGTGTCTTCTATCGTGAACTAGTTTTAACATTGTTGAACACGCTCCAAAACCCAGGTACTGTGTGGAAAATATCATCAGTGTTTTGTATTTGTTTCCAGTTGAGACACTGAGTTTGTTGTATAATAATAATAATAATAAGGGTTTCGATGGAAGTAACACACTCCCAGTCCAATAGTACAAGACAAACCACATTCTCATTCTGTCTTATCTCTCTGACACAGTACTGGATAGTTTCCTTTCAGTGTGATGCTTAAGGCCTTCAGTCTAACCAAGGCTCCGAGTCAAAACGCTCACTTTGCTATTCTTCTTTGAAGGTCCAGCATTACGTTTTGAAAACCCTCCACAACACCTGGAGGTGAAGCTGGGACAAACTGCCAGATTGACGTGTTCCTTCACTGGCAGTCTTCCTGTAGTGTCGTGTTGGATCAGAAACAAGGATCAGGTATTTTCATTTATTTAGCAAGATCATATTTTATTATTATGTAAATTATCTAGAAAAATGTCCTTGGGGACACTTAGTCTTTTACTTCCTTCAGAGAAATGTTATTAACAATGGATGTAAATATTTGTTTTGTTTTTTATTGTAAAAGTAAGGAAAAAGTTTGACTGTTTAATTGTATGTTTGGTCATGAAATGTAAGCAAATTATTTTGGTGGGATAGTACGGAGCCCCTATAGGGACATTAAAAAATAACAAAACAGAGAGAGAGAGAGACACCGAACACATACACAGAGTGGAGCTGAGCACAAACAGACACACATCATGCGCCTTGGTGACCCGACATCTCCTTCATTAAACTAATAATAGGGTGTAATAATCTGCCAGTGTGTGTGTGTGTGTGTGTGTGTGTGTGTGTGTGGTTAAAACATATACAGCCTGCGGTCGCTCTTTAGCTGTTCTAATGAAGGTAAACACAGTGAAGACGGTGCATAAAAGGCACAGCTCTTTGCGCGGTGGAGCTGCACTTCTCATAGGCTGAGTGACACGTCCCTCTGCCTCCTGGTGCTGCAGCCATTTCATGAAGTGAAGGAGGTTTTCCTTCTATAAAACAGATGTGGGCAGCAGATACTGTGAGAGTCACAGTTGTGCTTAAACAAATAGCTCTACACCCCTGGGTGAAATGTCCTTAAAATTAAGTCTGAGTTCGAAATATATCTCAAATAATGTATGCACTGTCATTCGCACGAGATACTAACCCGCTATCCTGATTTATTAAATGTTTTCTCTCTCTTTTTTTATTTTTGTTCATGTCCCTTTAGGGGCTACGTAGGAGGGTTTATTTTCTTAGAGATAAGTAGATATAAAATATAAGTATAATGTGTTTTGAAAATGTGTGGGATTTTGAAAGCATACATTCCTCTTTAAATGAAATTACCTTTACAAAGGTATTTAATGTATCAACTGATGGTTATGTATTGTGACTGTTTTATTCTGCAAACTATTGGACATTTTCAAAAGAATCATTTTTATTGGCTTGAATAATAATTAAAAAAAACTCTGCAGATCGTGGATGGTCCAGAGCTGTGGTCAGAAAACACAGATCAGAGCAGCACACTGGTCATAGCAAAAGCTAACCCGCAGCACACAGCCCGCTACACTGTTGTAGTGAAGGACCGCAAGAGCTCTGCACAACACACGGTTGCTCTTTCTGTCATAGGTAAGGCAACACACACTCTGCAATGTCAGTACAAAGTGATATAAGTTTGCAGTTACCTGACCCTTCATCTTACCGTCATCCAACCAGAGCCCCCCCAGCCTCCGGCCTCCTGTCCCGTGATCTCCCTCGTCTCTCCCAGCAGCCTCGTGCTCTCCTGGTCCGGCCCCTGCTACGACGGAGGCAGTGCTGTCCTAGGTTATGTGGTCGAAGTGAAGAACCAGGGACGTGTTGATCCTGGGGATTGGGCCGAGCTCACCGCCCAGTGTAAGAGTACCTCATACAAAGTGTGCTCAGGTCTGCTGCCTCAACAGGAGTACTGCTTCAGAGTGAGGGCCTACAACGCAGTGGGAGTCAGTGAGCCAGGACCAGTGTCACCAGTAGTTAGGATGGAGCAGAATGGTGAGGCAACGTGTGTTACTCGTACCACAAAATCTAGAGACTAATTATTGAGGCTTTTATTACAGCCGTTGTGCCTTTGTCTGTGTATTTAGATAAACCACAAGAAGAAGAAACCCCTCAAGCTTACTCCTGTGTCACTGTTGACTCTTCACACAAAGTCACAGATCACTACAGTTTGCAGGAGAAACTGGGAATGTGAGTATCTGTCAGGCACAAACATGTTTTATCCAATTAGCTTGAACATTTCTTTGGAAGCTGGTGACCTCCGTGGAATTGGGGAAATCAGCCAAGTACAACAGAGCGATGATTAAAATACATGCAGAGACATGATTCTATCTATAAACAACGACATTGATTTCAATGTTGAGAAATGTTGGGTGGTTTTTCCCCTTTGACAGTTAAGGCATAAAACAATAACAGATCTCAGATTAAGTATTGTTTAACATTCACATTTTGATTTATGGTCTCAGAGATAACAAAATAAACGTGTTTCTTCATTAGGGGAAAGTTCGGCCTGGTGTTCAAGTTAACCCACAAGGAAACAGGACGTGTGTGTGCAGGGAAGTTCTACAAAGGTCGACGTGCCAAGGAGAGGGAGGCTGCTCGTAAGGAGATAGAGCTGATGAACTTCCTCCACCACCCCCAACTGGTGCAGTGTCTCGCAGCATACGACCACAAGCCTGAGATGGTCATGGTCATGGAGTTGTGAGTATCATCGTGAAAGTCAATCGTTGTTGGAAACCTGCAAATTCTGGTTGCATACAAAGAAAATGAAGTATAACAATGCTGTGGTTTGTGTGTCTGCAGTATCGCAGGCGGGGAACTGTTTGAACGCATTGTGGACGACAGTTTTGTGCACACTGAGCTTGCTAGTGTGCGCTACATGCAGCAGATCCTGGAGGGGATTGCCTTCATGCATCAGCAGAACATTGTCCATCTGGACATGAAACCTGAAAACATTGTGTGTGTTGACACCACTGGCACCTCCGTGAAGATCATTGACTTCGGATTAGCCTGCAAGATTGGTATGTGAATGTCTGTCCAAAATGTCATCACTTCATTGTCCATCGTCAAATTGTCATAATATGCACGTTAGTTCTTTGAACACTAAATTATAATTCTTGAATCCAAGCGGACATATCATTTGAAGAAATTCCTTCCAAGCATTTCTGAGTTATCATGTTTACGAGAAGGGATGGAATGAGGTCAAAGTGACCTTTGACCACCAAAATGTAATCTACATCCTCAAATGTTTAAAATGTAAAGAAATTCCCTGAAGGCATTTCAGAGGTATTGCATTCACAAGAATGGTACGGACTGTCAGGATAGTTGTCAAACATAATGCCGCCGGTGTGGAGGCATAATTATGTGATTTATGTTTAACAGAAGGGGACACACCACTGAAGGTGATGCATGGGACTCCAGAGTTTGTGGCTCCTGAAGTGATCAACTATGAGCCTGTGTGTTTGTTCACTGACATGTGGAGCATAGGAGTCATCTGCTACATATTGTGAGTCACACTGCCCCTCCCATGGCTCTTTCTACATTTAGTTTGATATTTCGGAAAACTCACCTAAGGTGCAGAGAGTTGGATTTTGTTACCTTTGCACAGGGAAAAGCTAGCTCTTTCAAGTCTTTGTGCTAAGCTAACCTGTTGCTGAGAGTGGCTTCATTTACGGTATAGACACAAGACTGGTCATAAGAACCCGGACCCATTTCTACTTTTGGGAGAATTAAGGGGAACATAATTTAGACTAAATAGACCACATAGAACACATTTATGACAAGTAACCCCCCCCCTAGTGTCAAATATCTGAAAAGTGACATGTATGTCAAATTGGGCTTTAATGGTAAAGTAACTCTTATTTCTAACTTAATTAATGAGGAAGATTTTTTGGTTTAAATTAGTTTGAACATTCTTTGAATTGAAGAATAAAGAATATATTAAATTAACTGAGCAGATCATAATCATATTTCTAATTGTGCATATATGTCACTTTGGGTTTACTGTGAATGTTTACATCCCGATGTCAGTGTCACAGCGATGTTTGTCTAATTTGTTTCATATCAATTTGATCAATAAATGTTTCCAAAACAGGTTAAATGTAATAAAGGACATGTTATGTAAGCATTTTAATTATTAAATGGCTTGAATTGCACCTTTAGCAACAAAAAACAAGCTTCTGAAATGTAGCTAGTTCTGTCACATGTGTTAGCCTGGCACATGGACATCTTGGACATGTTGTTATGGGAACACAAAATCACATGACCTGGATCATGATCCAACAAACCGTTCAGTGTGTGTCACTTAGGGGACTTCATGAGATAAAATAAAGGCTAAAGCTGTATAAGGAACTTTCCAGAACATTTAAAGGTCATGTGACACCTATGTAACGGTGGGTCCTTATGGGTTAATTAAACTACTCATCCATCTCTTAGCAAGAAAACAAATAATTGGTATAATCTGAATAATAAAAAGGCCCTTAATCAACTGAAACTTCTGATAACAACTTAATAGAACATATACGACTGATAGGACTGGGCTGATGGTGTTTGTTACGATGAGGCTGCAGCTTTTTGAATGACTTATAATGCCACCTAGTCTGGACTTAGGTTGTATAATGTTTTTTCTCTCTGCTCCTCAGACTCAGTGGTGAGTCTCCATTCCAGGGTAACAACGATGTGGAGACCCTCTCCTTGGTCACAGCTGCCCAGTGGGAGTTTGATGAGGAGAGCTTTGATGAGATTACAGACGAGGCCAAACACTTCATCAGCTCGCTGCTCAACAAGGACACCAGGTCAGACAGACAGACGCACACGCACACGCACACGCACACTTTATTTGTATCTTGATCATTCTGAAGGAAGCGTTCAAATTACACTTTTTTTTTTTTAACATTCACAATTGTTTTTAGATAATTTATTTAATAAAATGTATTTAATTCTACAATGGAAATATTTGTAAGGCTTTTTTTCTTAAATTACTTTTTCTCATATGAGCCAGAAATCTCTCTAGATACAGACGTCAAACTTTACAAAGGTATATTTATATAAAGGTTTTTGAAGAAGACCTAGATGAACACTCATAGCTTGTTTTATATAACACTTGTTCCTCGTTCGTATTTTTAAACGTGCAGATTACATTTTTTTCTGATTTATGGAGTGATGCAAAGACATATTCAAAATTCCCTCTGTAAAAACATTTGACCTTTGAGGATTTATAAACCTATAGTGTCTTCCCTTTACCATCTGTAACACTGTTTTCCCAGGCGGAGGATGACATGTGAGGAAGCACTCGCACACCCCTGGATGGCATTTGACTCTGGAGCTGTTGCCACCACCAAGAGCCTGTCCAAGGAGAAGATGAAGAGGTTTCTAGCCAGGCAGAAGTGGAAGGTCTTTAAGTACTTTTATGCTTATCTGTGAGTTTGAGGTGTTGTTTTTGTTTTCTGATCCCGGACTTTTTTTGTTACATAGAAAGCAGGGAAGGCCTTGTTAGCCCTGAAGAGAATGGCTCTGCTGTCTAAAGGTGACAGCTCTGTCTCGCTTACCAGCCCTGGAGAAGGTAGGACAAATCACATTCTGATTTTATCTTCTTATCAGGATTGTTTTATTTTCCTGGTTTAAAGTTGAAGGATAACAATCCTGGGGTTTTCCACCACTCTCATCTACTTCCTTCTTCCTCCCCCTCTCTGACCCAGATTTACCCCTGAGCCCAGAGGCGGAGCACGCCCTGCAGTCTCTGGAACGCAAGATGCAGGTGCCACCCCAGTTCACCCAGAGCCTGGAGGACCTTACAGTAGTTCAGGGATCCTGTGCCCGTCTCTCCTGTCACCTCACAGGTACACACAACTTCAGTCAAGAGCTTAAAGCTCACCTTTTATGCTATATTTGAACAATATAATATAGGTCGAAATCTATACAAAACATGTCTCTGAAGTGTTTTGCTCAAAATACCAAACAGATTACCCATTGTAGCCATGCTTTATACCCCTCTATTTCAGCCCTGTTACAAAAGTGCTGAATCTGGCCCTTTAAATATAACCAAGCTGCCGCATGCAAGCGGTGAGATAAAAGGCTGATTACCGGCAGTAACTCAGCTAAATGCTGCCGTGATTAAACGCCATATTATGTTCCAAACCACATGAAGGATTATTTCTGAAACAGTATGGAGCTCAAACGCTTTCTCTCTAACGGGTTTACCACAAGGATAGTACCTTTTACATCCGGCTTCTTTATACATATTCTCTCCAGTACAGTGTTAGCTCTGAGTGTTAGCGATGCTTGCTAATATAAACACAGACCATATTACTTCCAAAACATGTTGCGCATTGTTTCTGATACAGCACAAAGCTTGACATGTTCTTAATTCTGGGTTTACAGCTAGCACAGTGGCATTATATGAATGAGATATATATATATATATATATATATATATATATATATATATATATATATATATATATATATATATATATACATATATATACACACACACACAACCCAGTCTCACGGCATTTCGTGTTATTAGTCACGAAATTAATTTAATCTATTGATTCGTGTTCACCAACACGATTTTCACCTTTTTTTCGTGTCACAGAACGATTTTAAATGCAATGTATTTCTATTGGTAGTATGTTTCGTGCCTGCAACACGTCTTTTTGTCCGGTCGGGTCTTGGAAGACCAGAAGCTGTGTGGTTCATAAAAACATGTTCTTACTCAATATCTTACCCTCAGCCTAACCCTATCCCTTTTATTTTAAATTGTATAATGTCTGAGTTTTTTTGCCATCAGTGAGGAAAATAAATGGGGCTCAGAGCCTCAGAATACTGAAATCTGTATTTTATGTCATCTTTTTTTCCTTCTAATTTGTTATTATTTGGTGCAGGCACGAAACATACTACCAATATAAATACATTGCTTCTAAAATCGTTCTGTGTCAGAATATTTAAATCTGTATTTTTTTTAAATGTGTTTTTCCTTCTAATTTGTTATTATTTACGTTGCTTTTAAAATCGTTCTGTGTGACACGAAAAAAATGGCGAAATCGTGTTGGTGAACATGAATCAATAGATTAATTTCGTGACTATAACACGAAATGCCGTGAGACTGTGTTGATATATAACAACTTTACTCTAAGTCCCTCCCGTAGACATCCTGCTGAATACACAGACACACAGCTAGCCGACTATATATGAGGGACAGAGATGGGGTTGTTACTAAAAAAAAAAAAGTAATATATTGCATATTACATATTACTTAAGTAAAAAAGTAATATATTACACTACTTCGTTACTCTCTACATAAAGTAACTCGTTACTTTACTCGTTACTTTACTCGCAGGGCCGGCCCGCCCCTCCCTACAGGCAGATCACGCAGACTGCTAAAGTTTCAAATGTTCTCTTTAGTTCAGTTTCCATTGTCGCATAAGACTGATCCAGATAGCTCTGACCATGGCTGTCCTCGGTCTCCTGCTATCTGTATTTTGCGCAGTATATCTCTGAACGATGCGATGGTGATTCCACTGTGCAAATGGGCAACATTACCTCTACTATGAAGGATGCTACAAGCCTGTCCATCTCTGCTTTGGTTACCGGTCCTCCAAATTCTTGCGGCGGCGCACTCACAACATCCTCACTCTGGGTTCGGGGGTCCTTAGCTATTAGCTTCACCTTAGCATGTGTTCTTTGCAGGTGTTTGAGGTTTGACGTGGTGTTTACAGCAGTGTATAACAGCTTCTGGCCTGGACACAGTTTGCACCTCACCGTCACATTCCTGTCTATTCTTCGGACGAACTCAAAATAATGGGCATACCTCCACCCCTCGAAAGTTATCGCTGACTCAGCCATGTTTATGCAGCACTGCACACGGAGATGTGGACGTGCAAGTCGCGCAGATTACGTACATATAAACCTGCGGCGGAAACCCCTCTTGTCTGTCAGTGTGATTATGACTGATTTTATAAAAGTAACGAAGTAACGCGTGTCGGGGCAATGTTAGTAACTGTAGTGTGATTACTGAATTATAAAAGTAACGCGTTACACTACTCCGTTACCGACAAAAGTAATATTATTACAGTAACGCGTTACTTTGTAACGCGTTACACCCAACTCTGATGAGGGACGATAGGTTGGGACATGGGCGTTACGTTGCCAGGAGCTCAATGTATAGCCAGCCCACATTTCAGTAATGACGTCAAGTCCGCAGCAAGTCCCGTTTTTAGAGATGTGGGTAAGGAGGAAACGAGAGAGGGTTTTATTTTCTGACACTTTGTGAGTCTCCTTAGACACCAGGGACACGTATATGTATGTAAAAAAGTGCATTTTGTATAATAGGTGACCTTTAAGCAATGTTTTCATCTTTGTGACTTATTATTGCACCGTTACTAAAAAGAGCAAAAGCAAAAAGATTTATCACACATTTTGGACAATATCTAATAAATAAGCCTTGCATAACCCATATTAGACCCACTGCTATACACAACATATGTCCCTTTTTAAAGGTAGGTAAGAATGGAGAAACCAGCTCGAGTGCGCTAGAATTTGAAAGTACGCAGCCGAAACAAATCTGCCCCTTCCTTCAGACTTCCTTACAGAGCCCCTCCTCCACACACAAACGCGCACATGACCAATGAGGGCACGAGATAAGTTTGTGCACAGATGAAAGGCTGACAGGCAGGTAGGCCATCCAGTTATTTTAGCCGGGCTGGCTAAAATAATTGGTCGTGCTTTTTACAGCACCACGGCTTCCACAGATGACATTTTTTTAATGTATTTATTGTCAAAGCATTTAATGTATTCATTGCTATCGGGATGTTAAGAGCATTCCATGGAATATAACAAAGTGTTTCTGAAGTTAATTACCTACCCCACCTTTAATGGTCAGTTTTCAGGCCTGAAAGACTTGCTATCAACTCGCAACTGAAACTTCCCCTAAAAGAAAACAGAAGCACTTGTCATTTCTTTCTGCTCTTTAATCCTGTCCTCACCCCCATCTATCTTGACAGGGTACCCAGACCCAGAGGTGGTGTGGCTGTGTGGTAAAGAGCATGTGGAGGAGTCACCCTCGAAGCAGATAGAGTATGATGAAGATGGCCGCTGCACACTGGTCTTAGACAAAGTGGGCCCAGGGGAGAGCGGTGTGTACACCTGCAGAGCCACCAATGACCAAGGGGAGGCGTTCTGCTCAGCCAAACTTATTGTAAAAAAGTAGATAAAGGAGAGACAAAATGTATAAACACAACATTTTCAAGAGTGCCTTCAACTGTTTTATTGTAGAATATTGTATTAAAAGTCAGGACCAAAATGTACATCCTGTACTATCGCTGGAAATATATGATATTTGTATTACTGTATTGTACAAAATGTATGAATATTGTTACAGAGCTACAGGCATATATAAAAGTTGGTATTTCTTCATTGGACTTAGGTATGAGGACTGTCTTATATCGGCTAAAACAAGACTATCTCTTAAGATTTTATTTCAAACTTTTCAACTGGCGGTATGAATACAAATAAATATCCTTTGTCAAAAGGCCTGAAACCGCAGTAAAATCTGACTTCTGATATACTTTAAGGTAAAATGTTGACCACAATAGACACTAGGGGCTAACTGTTAGCATGTGCTTCGTGCTATGAAAAGAAACACTTGAGCAATTGTACTTTATAAATGCTTTGTGTTATAATTTTTCCAGAGCACTAACACAACCATAAACACCATTTTAGAAAAACTTTTAGTGGAATATCAAAATTAAACCACTGCATTAAAATGGAAGAGAGCATTTTTGTTAAACTTAGCAGAACAGTGTCAATTAAGGATCAGACTACCTTTGTGCCAGCTAACAGCTAAAAAGGAGACACTTGTTCCGTTTACTTATTTTGATCAGAATGTTTGGAGTGTTTAGGGCAGTCAACTTATATTAAAAACTACATTTAAAAGTCATTACAATTAAAGCACTTATTGACTTTGATCAGTTTTTCCACTGGGCAGCTTGTATGAAATGTGCCTGTCATGCAAATCATATCATACAAAAGTCTATAGATTTCCACGATTTGAATACTTACAATGCAAAATGAGCCAAGACCGAAGTTGGTGCTGGTTTTAGTTTCGCTTCTTAAACAATTTTTTTAATTTAACCTATAAACATCATGGACTAAAGCTCAATGCATCAGACCAATGGAATCAAGTGCAAGGGATATAAAAAGATATACTTTTACAGTAAATCATATACTTCTACTATGCTACAAAGTTCTACAGTAATGTCTTTTTTTTTCTTTTTCATATAAAAGATAAACTCTGATTACTAAATACCCCAGGTTTGAGTATATCAATCATTCAAGAATAAGCATTTCAATAACCAGAAAGTCACCTGTTCTCTTGTCCGTGAAGAGGCTATTGACAATATTCAAGTTGAAGTATGGAGAAAAATAAATGGTGAGTAAAGTAAGTCAATAAGCAAGTTAGTAAGAAAGTACATTTTATTTCTAGAGCTCATTTGAACACACCTGAATTATACCAAGGTGATATACAAAACTTAAAAATGTTATGTCTTCAAAACAATAAACTCATATGAATCTCATTAGCATCTTTTTTCATTTCATTTTTTTTACTGCAGTTATACATTCAATACAAAACTTCACACTTTAATTTCACATGTGCTGGAGCTGTACACATGAAAAAGTCTAAACACACATGAAATGAAAATAAAGATGGCGCAGAGAAAGCCAGATATTTATCATTATTACAACTATATTATACCATATGTTACAAAAAGGGTCGATGAAAAAACTAGGAATTAAATAAGATGGCTAGAGTCACAATGTATCCTTAAGTGCTTTTATTAACAGCCAAAATGCTGAAAGAACACAGTAACAAGGATCTAGTCCAAAATAGAAAGAAAAACAAACCTCAATATATATGTACAGGTCGAAGAAATATAACTAGGACCTCTCTGCTCTACAGCCACAGTCAGACTAACTCCAAAACACTTGTGGCCAGAGGTTTATATATGTTAAGCCCCTCCCCATAGGACAATCAACTATTTATACCCTTAATTACTGTTATTCTTATCATCTTCAAACGTATTCAAAATGTAGTTCAAACTAATTAAACACAATAAATCAAATAGGTCAACATATTCTACATTTCTGACCACAGAAGCCTTAAACAATAACAAGGCTTATTGTTTATTAGTAGTTAGGCTTTTGCTACCAGCTACCAGTTACCAGTATTAATAAAGTGAGATTATATTCCTTTTAAAAGTATAAACACACATGCAGATTATTCAGAGAAGAGCAGAAAACCAGAGAAGGTGTTGTAGCCCATGGCATCATCATACCTGAGTCATTCACATCAGACCCTGAGCTGTCCCATACTGACGTAAGCCGCACATCATTCTTCATGAGGCTAACAGAGTTTGGAGTAGGAGAAACATTGTTGTACATCGTGAAACGAAAGAAGTAGGTTCCTTTGACGGTTGCTGAAAATATGCCTGCAAGAATAAGGAGAATGATTGAATGTTATGAGCCATTGTTTGTGTTTTTTCTTTTTCGCTCTGTAACTGTTAACATACACTACCTGTTGTAGGATTGTAGTTATTTCCAGTGTTGGAGATGACCCTCTTATACTTAAGTGGTGTATTAGAAGTGAAAGGTCCAATGGTTTCCCAGCCAGATTCCACGAGAGCTGTAGAAAAGGCCACCTGAGGTTTGCCTGAGACCATGAAATTAACACATGAAATTAAAAGTGAAAAAAAATACATCATATGACCTCCAGTCAGGCTACGCAGCTCCAAGACTTCTTTTTCAGTGTTCTGCAACTTCGCCTCCAGGAGTGTTATTTTTTCTGCCATGTTTGCGACCTTCTCTCCCACTGCTCCCAAGTTTTGACTGATTTCAAAGCAGCAGGACGATCCTGAGCACAGACGGACTTTGTCATCGATCTCATCATGAATTTGCCCTTCACATACGCAGCAGCTTAATGCTAGTACAGGACTGCAAGCTGCTTCATCTTCGTGGTTTTAAAAAACAATCTCTGCCTCCATGCCAACCTCCCTCTTTTATACTTCAGCCTGCATTGCGCAAAACAAGAAAGTTTCAGGAAACACCCATCGATAAAACAACGTAAATCATCTTTTCTTGAGAGTGATGGGAAAACACACAGAACTCAGTCAAGTGATTTAAGATAATACATTTTGTGAATATACAGTTACATTTAGGCAACATTTACAAAGCAATTGGTGTGAAGTAATCAATCACTACATAAATACAGACTAAAAAGTTGTCAAATGATTTGAAGATATTGATTTAGTGAACCTGTTCAAACAAGGCATTGTGCAGTTTGTTAGCCCTGCACCCATAAGTCAGAGAGGACTGAATGACTTGCCATAATATTCCACTTGAGGGATAAATTAAAGTACTGGACCTTAATTAATATCAGTTCAGATATCTGTAAAACACCAAATCCAATATTTATGTATGGCATTGTCAAATCAATGAGAAGTTATGGCCTTTTGTTGAAGTGGAACCCATGTGAAGAATACGTTTGTAACAACTAGTCTGGAAATATTCTTTCACTTAGGCCAACTCTCTCTCTCTGTCCTCTGTGCATTATTGCCACAAGAGAAACACAAACAGATGTTGTCTATATTATGTGGTAGTTAAGTGTGAATCCTTGCAATCTCAACAGGATTCCTCATGGGTCCTTTGATCTTATATATTTTTGTACAACTCTGGAAATACCTCGTTATGGGGGAGACGTAAAGCATGGACACACGTCACAAGATAGATTATTTGTTGCACTTTCCCGTTTGTACTTGGTACTGTTAAAATGGTTACAAGTAAAGATTGTAAATATCTGCTACACGTGTACTTTAAACGTCCCCTATTATACTGTTTTTCATTACTTTATTATAGGTCTAAATACCAAACAGATCATTGTAGCATCCCATAAACCCCTCTGTTACTTAAGATGAAAATAAGGAGCCACTCCCCACGCCCCTCAGAGATATTTGGTTAAAATAAACACAATGGTGCTCTAGGAGGAGGTTCAGGTGATACGGTGGGGGTTACCTTGGTTGGTTATTGGCTAATGGTTACACAAGCCAAAAAATCGTTATGACATAAAGTGGCCAAAATCTGATCAGCTCATTTTCAGACAGGTTTTTATATAAATGGATCAGGACAAAAAGAGAGCGAATCTTTTTTCCTGAAACTTTCAGAATCTCTTTACACAGAGGGGACACATATTTATGTATAAAAGACATGAAAAAGTGGACTTTGCATAATAGGTGACCTTTAACATGTTTCTTCTCATGAAAACTGATCATCACCTATGAGAGTAAAACCAGGAGCGAAGTGTTGACTGATACAATTATAAAAAAGGAAATTAAAACAGCACATTAAAATAATAGACGCAATTAATAAAACATGGACATAGGATAACCAAAATAGCTTTTTATTTCCACAAACAAATAATAGCTCAACACTTGTTTCTGCGCTGAACAGTTGTCACTTGTTGATCCACAATTTAACAAGAAAAAATAAATAAATTAGCTTGTGACTGGCTTATAAATAATGTTTTTAAGTATGTTCAATGTGTATGTAAATTTAAGTATAAGACTGTGTGCAAAAAAAAGAAGATCCAGCCTTCTGTGACTTCTTTGTAGGACATGTTTTGACAGCAAGAGCAGGCTTTGAAGGGGATGTGGATGATATGGGAGGACAAACGCCTCATGTTGACCGGCTCCTCAATGGCGCCCCCTGCTGGCTCCTGTAAAGAGTTGATGCTCGTGACTCAAAGGCCTTGACCATCTGTTTAACCACTTCGTCAAAGAACACGCCGGCCAGCTGAGAGTGCAGGAGAGACTTGAACTCAAATGACACCTAGAGAAAACAAGAGATGGGCAAACACGTCAGTTAAATGTTTGGGAGAATCTTCAATTGTAAATTAAATGGATTTCTTCTCAAATCCTTCTAAACAGGAACAGCAAGAGGCAGAGACCACATCAGATTGTATAGAAGTCTATGAGAAAATGTACTTGATTTATTCCCTCAGTTAACATTTTCCTAACAATTGTATGGTCTTAATCGCTAGTTTTAAACTCTCTTGAATGCAACATGCTGTTGATTTAGTAAATTATGCGCTACCTTTACATGTTCATTGGTCATCTTTTTCAACATGTCAACTACTTCCTGGCTGACCCTGAGGTTTACTTTATTCAATTTCAACCCAGAATAAGTTCCCCTTCCCATTTCCTCATACTTTCAATGTATTTTCTCTCAGGTCAATATATTACTTGCATAGAAATAGACTTTGCAGGAGGCTGGTAGGTCTTTGGCTCCAGGGGCAAACCTCCATATTGTTTCCAGATGGCTGAAGAGGGATCCATTAGTACACACGGCCTGTTTTAAAAGAAATTAACCTTTAGTTATCTTTATTTCAAAAGGTCAAAGAGCATACGCTGCAGTTCAAAGTGTATTATTTGGGCAAAGGGGTTTGTAGTGGTGCATTCCTGGAGCTACCAAGACTTCCTTACCCTGACTTGGTGATTTGGGACGACGGTGACTTCAGAGGTGTAGCGCTCCACGATGGGGGGGAAACCTATTTCGAGATCCGCCTGGACGTTACCATTTTGTCTCCTTGTGACACGAGACTTCTTGCACCAGGGAACAAAGTGCTGGTATTGGTCCACACTGGCCACCACATCATACATCTGCTTTGGAGTAAACCTGAGCACACATTACATGAAAACAGAGGCACATCCAATGAGTTTATTTCTTCATAAATGTGTGTATTCAACACTTGGAGTTCCAATTTCTATTTAATGCTAAGTTTTAAATGTATTTAGGTATTTTCAATACATTTTCTTATTTAAAAAAATATATACGATTCCATCTTGTGCTCCAATTAATCTGCCATTTTTTACATCACCAAAATAATTATAAATGTTATCACTGTTGACTTATTGTAAGTTACGATCAGGTGTTGCTTTACCATGCACTTGAAGAAAACCTGTATATTTTTGTGTATTTTATCCTTTTGTTTGAAATTACACCACTTTCAGTTACATTCTGTATGGTTTGGAAGGACTGCCGTCTTCTTATTTCACTGGTTTTCAACATGTTGGATGTCAGATGGCTCACCCTAATGTCCGGCACTCGGTGTACTCCATCCTGCGAGCACTGATGGGAGCAGCCAGGTTGATGAAGCTGCGGCTGGGTGTGCTGAGGGGGGTGGCGGGGCAGAGAGGCATGCTGGTCCTTCTCGCTGCCAGGGCCCCACAGGAGCCCCACAAGTGTCTGACAGGAAGAAATTAAAAACATATATGGTTACATATTAATCAGTTTGTGGGAAATATACAAGAAGCATCACAGGTGTATTCAGTGAGGGGGCTCTGACATGTGACTGACCCAAATTAGAGTTTGGGTTAATAATAGCACAGGTTACCATATCATTTATGTTGTGAAATTGTTTGTTCTGTGGACAAACTGAATTCATTTGTCCCTAATATTTAAGTATGTAGTTATTTATAGTAAGTATTTCTCACTGAGAAAAACTGCTGGCAGCTTACTGAATGCAAGTGGTAACCATCTACAAGAGGAGACAAGACAAAGAGCAATACTGTATGTCTGCTTTGTTTTCAACCAAGCCACAACTTGCTCTCCATTTACGAATGTTCATGTTTTTGCTCTTTCAGTTTTGATATCGATAGTAACGTTGACGCATTATAATTGTGACTCACTGCGAGTCTCATGACTGTTTCTCTTTGCCAATTATTTCTTCACACGCACACAGGCTAACTTGCCACTCATGCCACTAAGTCTACAATTAATTCAAAATAACAAAACATAGCCGGATATGTGAAGAACATACATTTTAACATATAATGTACAGCTCGACCCATATTGTGACAAGTATAATTCAATATAAATGCTCCTTAGTATTTCGCCTACCTCGGCTACCTGAACGCATCACCTTTGAAAAATCCCCGTGTTCACTCACCTGATGTTTGTTCTTTTACCGGTCCCTCGTCCAACTTTTGAGTAATGTGCTTCAGACATCTGCAGCAGCGCCTTGAAGAGGAGAGGGGTCACTTTGTTGGTCATGGTGAAGTTTAAGTTTTGAAGACTAATGGAGAAAAGTCCTTATTTCCACCCCAGCAGCAGCAGCACCTACCCGGCTGTTCTGACTGATCCGCGCTACTGCCCACAGTGCCCAGATTGATAAAGACAGCAATGACGTAACGAGATGCTCTAGCCAATCAGAGTGAAATCTTGATCTTTGAACTTAAAGCCAAGATGAATCCAGATTTAAAAAATAAGAAATTAAAGAAGTTCAGAAGACGTGTTAAATGAATAAAATCAAACAGCTTTCATATGACACGTTTTATGTCATGTTATTGAACCTTTGTGAAACACTGCACCAGAAGTCTATCTTCATACAGTAAGTGGCAAGACAGGCAAACACTTTTAACAATTTGAATGAAAATCAAATGTAGGTATTTTTGTCAAAACATTTAGCAAATGTAAATATTATTTAAACCTAGTTAGTATTGTTATTATGGGATGCATTAGACTACAAGCTGATCTCCTCAGACTTGGATTTCAGAAATTACACAGTTTTACTCTCATCATGAAGGAGACATGATAAGGAATACAATCATATGTATTATTTGATTGAGAACACTGGCCTTCAAAAGGGTTTCCACGAGAAATCCAAAGTCTAAAATGATACTGTATGGTAGAGCTTGCATGCTGTGTGCATGATTCACCTGGACTTTGGTTCTTCAGACAAATAAAGGTTGTCATCTATATTTAGACGTACGGTACCACACAGTAGGAACTGGTATTGCAGGATTCCATTTCAGGATCTTTAATCTGGAATGACAGAATTTAATCAGAAAGGGACATAAGATCCTCAGTCAGTCCTAACAAAGACATTTTGGAAACGGAATGTTTTTATACAGGCAAGCTAACCTGTCTCAGGTTGTAATAGAAATACTCATGGGCTAAACAGCCTAAGACTGATCCAAATAAATAAATAAATAATACCCAGGTGATGGATGTTGTTCCAGCTGGCCCTCGTACAGTCTTTCATCTGTTCAGTGATTCAAGCAGTTCAACCTCCTCCTCACAATTTACTGGTCATAAAGACATTTCTTAACTTTTCATAATTTA